TCTTGTACATATTGTAAATATTTTAGCATGTTAACCAATCTTAGTATTTTTAGCTCAATTAGCATTTTAACTTTAATTAATTTATGGATTTAGTCATTTTTAATTTATTTTGTAGTGTCCCCATTTAGTGGTTATGTACTGCTATTTTAGTCTGACACTTAAATAAAGGTATTCATTCATTCATTCATTCAATAATCACTGTACATCAATAAGTAATAATTGATGATGAAGACAGTGATATCAACACTGACAAAGTCAGGAAACTAAATTTTTTATCTCAGTCAATAAAAACCAAAAAAAATAGGAAAAAAAATTCCATGGTAGCTAGTCAAATTGAGAGGATGTGTGCTAGGATTAAAATAATAAGATTGTACCTCACTGCACAGGAATTCTCGAATGGATGATCTCAAGGCTTTACGGCCATCTCTATGATTAGAGAAAGGAGTCAGACCTGATCCCTTCAGCTGAATTTCCCATCTTTCCCCATTGGAATTAATTATTTCACCCAGATACCTATTACAAAAAAGATAGAGAAAAAAAGGATCAAATTAGTAACTAAACGATCCTCTTCAACCATCAATAGGTACATGCGAATAAGCTGAGTCTGCTTTCAAATTGTTAGAAACAATTCATGGAAAATTATTTCTGTGTTGAATGTTTGAATTGTATCCTAATTAATAAAAAATCAAGTAGAGGGAACAGAAGGACAGAGAGAAGAGAGGATTGCCAGAGTTAGCAGAAAGAAGAAGAGGTCTTAAAGTGTATTCCTCTCAAACTCTACTTTTAATTTTTTTTTTTTAACTCTGTATGCCCTGACATCAGTATTCATGTTCTCCATACTAATCTCTCTACATTTCCTGTGGTAATGAAAAGGAGAATTTGTTTCAAAATCAGGAGCTTCTAAAATAGGTGATCATCTCCACATTCTCATAACCTTCACATGTGATTAAAGGGTGATACTATATGGAGAAATTAGAAGCCAGTCACTCTCAGGTCAGTTAACAGGTTAAGTGGTTATACCCAATGACAAGTTGACTTCATTGACGAAAAACGAGCCACTTAAATACGATACATTGATCTATCAAATGAGTGAAAATAGTCCGCCAGCTTCTTACATCGCAGCTCCATCTCCAAGCTGACCCGAGAAATACCCCTGTTGATGTCCGCAATAACAGTGAGCTGCAGTCTGACTTCCGGGAAGGATTTTGTTTCCACTCATATACTGCACAAAGCCGGGTCTTTTCACCTCAGATGGCGGTAGATCAAGGAGTGACAGAGCTTCCTGTGAGTAAGCTACAAGGGTTGGATTATTAACTGACGTCGGTTCCACGAGAGAAAAACATGCATCTTTGACTTGTCTTATGACATTTTGTGTTTCGCTGTCGATTGGCAGGGAATGAAGAGCTAGATTGTCAAAGTTCAAGGTCTCTAAAGTTGTCATGGTGGTAGTTGATGCTCGGCATGCCCAAAGTAAGGAGGTTCGGAACAGAGGGAGAAAGTGACGAACAGATTTCAGACTCATCGATGAAGACGAACCGCCATCTTGTCCGAGGAAATGAGTAGACTGGGGAAAAGTCTGGAAAGGGAAGGAGAGAGCCTTTGAAACCGACATCGTACCATCACAGGGAGGCCGGGATGAAGAATATCGATCTAATGAAAATCGGAGGAACAAATGTTGTCACAAATGGACAATTTTAAAACATCTTTGGCAAACTTTAGCCTGCGTAGCAGCCCTAGAGGGATGGGGGAAGGGGGTAGGGAGCCGAGCAATGCGAGGCTTAGAGAAGGGATGTAGGAGGGAGAGCGGAACGAGGCTTGGGGAGAGGATAGGATAAGCTATATGGAGAATGATGGAGGATAGGCTTCCTTTCCTCTCCCCAAGCCTCTCTCCACTCTGCTCCCCTGCTTCCCCCTCCCTCTACGGCTGCTACACAGGCTAGCAAACTTGTGACTCCAGAATTTTATAACCCCACATTCACCCCCTCCATCCCCCCCCTCCCCCAAGAAAAAGGAGGAACTTCTCCAATGTATGAAAAAGTAGTCAGAAAAGATGGATTGGTGGAGGTGTATCCAAATGTTCTCAACTTTAATGCAGAGAAACCTCTATACTGTTAAATTGTCTCTTACACCTTTCCTCATCTGCCAGAAACAAAAGAAATGTTTGTCCTGGCTAGAACTGAACACTTCAGCCTCCCTTAAGGGTCTTATTGTTCAATAGGGGGTTACATGTATCCCCAGTCCTGGATTAAGCCAAATTGCTTTTCTGTTACAAAGGAATAGGTCAGAACTAGAATTTCGTAGCATTTAATCTCAGTACTTCAAAAAAAAGGTAACCGAGACTGAAAAAAAAAAAAAAAAAATTATCCTTTTTTGTAAAAGCATACAGAAAATAAAAACATTTTAACTGTTTGATAATGTTTTAAAAGACATGGGCATTGATTCAGATATATGGTTCACAAAGATGTCGTAATGCAAGACAAAGGCTTATTATGAAACAATTGAACATGCCAGAAAAAACTGGTTTGAGTATCTCATGTTGAGGCCTATTTGTGAACTTCTCTCAAATGAAAAAAAAGAAAAAAAAAAGGAAAAAGGCTTTCTTTTCAGAGTAATTTGGATATATCAACAAAGTTGAAATAGTAAATTGGCCACCGTAATCATTACAAAAGCTGACGTTTCGAGTTCTTTAGAAACTATCGGCCTTTATTTCTTTTCAGAGTACTGATGGTTCTGCTTGAATTTTTTTTCTTTTTTAAGGGAAAATTATTTAGATGACTCATCCACAAAAAAATAATGTACAACACAGCCACTGGAAGAACAGAAAAGAATATGGAATTTAAGTAGCATGACACAAATGAAAACTTAAGAGTAGTATTTCCATTGTTCTTCTTTATTTTTGATTGTCTTTGGTAGAAAAGATACAACTTTAACGTAACTCTAAGCTGTTATACCCTTTTCTTCTTCCAAAGAGTACGATTTATACCAGTCTGGCCTTTTGGTTTCCTATTGAGCCATCGATTTCTCCCTGCTTTACCAATGACTCGATTTTTATGATCGATATTAGAAACTCTCCCTAGAGTAGCCAGGCAATCAAGTGGAATGTCCTTCTCTTGTTTTGAAGGAAGTCGCAACCTAGCTGTAGTCTCAGTCTTATTGAGAATCTGTGCGCATGTACCAGCAGCACGCACAAGCTGGGCACCATTTCCTGGCTGAAGCTCAACATTGTACACTAATGTACCAATTGGAAGATGAGCAAGTGGGTAGGCATCCCCAGGTTTTAGTCTTGCGATAGACTGGGGCTTCCCTCGGGAGGCTGTAACAACATCTCCGACTTTCATCTCATGAGGTGCAGAGATGATTTTCATTTTAGTGCTACCATCTCCTGCCACCAGTGCAATTCGACCAGAGCGGCAAGGATCATAGCCTATATGGAGGACTTTGTCTCGAATTGGCTTAGGTTCTTCATTTTCTTGTGACACAGGAGCTCTGACAAAGTCCACAATACGGAATGTCTGTGGATGCCCTCCTCCCTTATGCCGAATAGAAATATGCCCAGTTTCAGGATCTCTTCCTGACTTCTTGTGGTTACGTTTTACGGTTCCATCCTTGAGATAAGCTGGTACAGGAATGTTTGGCATACTTCGTGGTAGCCTGATGAAATAATACTGTGTCTTTCCTTCAGCTACCATGCTTGTTGAGAAGGCTCGAAAAAGCAAACTCGAGAAAGGTAAAACACTGTGCTTTGAGTTCGCTATGGTATGGCGAAAGACTGATTTACTCAGTTTTGCAACTGTTAGAAGCTCATTCCATGCCATGATACGAGAACAAAACTGGCAATCGGAGACTGGGGAATCACAAGTCTGAAATTTACAAAGAAATTAGAGTGATGAACAACTTCGAAAGGTGGATTACTTTTAACTTTAATGGTGACAGGTTTTGATGATTATTCATTTTAAAGTACATTATAAAACTACAGAATATGTACCTCACAACAGCATCCTCGACTCTCAAGATGGCGGAGTTCCTTTCTACCTTACTTGACACGACATACTTACTAATTTTATGCATGTACCGCTGACAGCTAGAGCCGTAGGTACTTCTGATCGCAGTACCCGTATGTAGCGCAAAGGTCGCCATCTTGTAAACTCTGTAGTGTGTTGTTGTTGATTTCCAGTGGGTTATAACACTTATTGCAAATCGATCTCACAGGTAAAACACTTGTTTAATTTTTAGATAATATTTATAGACTATAACACGTTAATCTTGCCACACGTTAAGATATTTTATGAGCTAGATTTCTTGTACAGATTGAGTAGATAATTTCTGCCGTACGTACCTCACTGTTGGTAATATACTTAAGTACAGTTATAGCGGCTTATGCTGTAGCTTAGGATTGCATTCACCTCTGTAGATTTTGCACAATGTGGAGGCTTGCTTTGTCAAAGGCGGCGAGAGTGAAGCCAACGCATGGATTGACGCCTACCTTGCAAGTTGCAGGTGAGGATATTTCATTAATGTTTGTATTGAATTCACTCTTCGATGTTACATAATATTTCAAATTAGTATAATTTCGGAGCTGAGTAAAGAGTTTCCAGCAATCTGATGGGTCGAGTGGTTCCTTTTATGATGCTATATAAACCGCTCCGTGCTGTTTATATAAAATGTTAATAAATGTTACTAAGATGTTATGATTTTAGAAATTCCTCTGTTGTTCAGCTTTTAAATTATACTAAAACAATTATTCGCCTCAGGTTCGGTGAATATTGTCAAATAATCCCCTCGACTTCGTCTTGGGGATTATTCGACAATATTCTCTGAACCTGAGGCGAATAATTGTTAATTAGTGATTACTATTTTCCAATATTTGTAATTCAATTTTTGCACTTTGCGTGTTTCAGCTCAGCATTATGCCACCGCTGCAGCTCCTGAAAAAATTGAAGTGTTTGTAAATGACAAAAGCCTGTTGGTGGATCCTGGCGTAACTGTTTTGCAGGTCAGACACCTCTCTCCTTATGGTCTAGCAATTTGGTTCAGTTCTATTGGTTTGTACGGCTGCTAAGCAGTTTACTCAAGTTGAGGTGTATATTCACAGGTAACAGATTTTATCAGGTGACAAATAAATATACACTTGACTTTTTTTGTATTTCACCTATTTAGGCCTGTGCAATGGCAGGTGTAGAAATTCCAAGATTCTGCTACCATGATAGACTCTCTGTGGCTGGGAATTGTCGAATGTGCCTTGTGGAGGTAGAGAGGTCTATAAAGGTAAGTCATTTCAGCTCTTAGCTCCACAATAGGGCCTCAAGTTGGTAACATTTTAAAGAAGGTTTATTGTCAAAGGAAATCACTACTTCATAAACTCTCTTTTAATTTTTAGTCCTTATTTTAATGGTGGGTGAATGGAAAGACATTTTAGTCATTAGTGTGGGTAATCGCATGGGGCCGAGTAAAATTAAGGATTAATATCACGCGTGTTTTTGGAAGTTGCTGAAATTGCCCG